AGACCATGAAACCATTCAGAAAAGTCATAAGTAGATCCAGGCATATCTATAGAGACTTAATTTATGAGAAAAAGAGGTATATATGATTTATGACAAATGCGAAAAAGAAATTTATTTTTTAAAATGGTGATGAGACAGTTGGGTTTCTAAATAATAATTTAAAAAAAGAAACTTGATTTTACCAAAACCATACGCAAAAAAAAAAAAAAAAAATTGTCTACACAAATGTGAAAGGCAAAACTAAAGATTACAGAAGATAATGCAGGGCAATATTTTCATGACTTTGAGGTAAGCAAATATTATAAAAAAAATAGGGCCAAAAGGTGCAGATCATAAATGAGAAAATGAATTTTACTATATTAAAATTAAGAATATATATTCATCAGAAGACCCCATTAAGAGGGTGAAAAAGCAAGCCAATGAATGGAAGAAGGCATGTGCAATCCATATAACCTATATAAGATTCTTAGATCATATAAGAAGTCCTACTAACTTCTAGGGGAAAAACCAAACAGTCTATGAGAAAATGGGGATGATATTGGGAAGAAGGGAAGGGCTCTGTAATACTGTAATACTGGGCTCTGGGGTGTTAGGAATATTCAGTTATTTAACCTGGTAGCAGTTATACAAGTAATTACTTTATAATATTTATTAAGCTGGACATTTATGTTTTATGCACTTTCAAATGTGTACTATACTTTTACAATTGAGTTAAATACATCACACCAATATGGCCCCAGGCTATGATAGCTTGAAACATATATTTCAGAACAAGGATTGTCTTGCCTTGTGAGGCTGATGTTCGTAACACGTAAGTTATATTTCACACTTGTGCACTATTTCATTGGCTCTATACTCTGTGAGCCAAGCATGGGAGAAACTACTGGACTCTTTCCACAGATGAGAAAACTGAAAACTGAGGCCTGAAGAGGTTAAATGACTTCTCCAAACCCACATTACTAGCTATGCTGCACAGAGGTAGGACTTGAAACTAGAGCTTTCCCCAACCCCTTGCCCAAATCAAAGTTAAAACAATGGAATGATCCACACTCACTAGGATGGCTATTATCCCCCAAATGCAAAATAATAAATGTTGGTAAGGATATTGAGAAGTTGGAATCCTTATGCCCTGCTTTCACTATCTCAGAACGTGGAATGAAGTGGCTGCTGTGGAAAAGTTTGGTAGTGCCTCAAAAGGTTAAATATAGAATTGCCGTATGACCCAGCAATTTCACTGCTGGATATATACCCAAAAGCACTGAAAACAAGGGCTCAAATAGATGCTTGTACAACAGTGTTTATAGCAACATTATTCACAATAATAGCCAAAAGGTGGAAACAACTCAGGTGTCCACCAACAGACGAATGGATAAACACAATGTGATATAGACATACAATGGAATAGTGTTCAGTTTATATAGAAGAATGAAATTCTGACACATGCTGCAACATGGATGAACCTTGAAAGCAGGCTAATTAAGTGAGCCAGACACAGAAGGATAAATACGGTATATGATTCCACTATATATGAGGTAGCTAGAGTAGGCAAATTCATAGAGACAGAAAATAGAATAGAGTTTACTAGGGAATGGGGAGGGGGGAAATGGGGATTTGGTGTTCAATGGACAAGGAGTTTCTGTTTGGGATGAAAAAGTTCTGAACTAGGTTGTGGTGATGGTTAAACAGCATTTTAAATGTACTTAATACACTGAATTGTACACTTAAAGATGAAAAACTAGTAAGTTTCATGATTACACACACACACACACACACACACACACACACATATATATATAATTATACCACAGTAGAAAAAAAATTTAAACACAGGATAAATATTATGATTAACTTTATTTACATTTGTTCCCCAAACCAGGAAGCTGAGTTTATTTGGGGGTTATCAGGGGTCCTGATCTTACTCCAGGAAAATCTCAGAAGGTGGGTGTAGCTTAAGTTTTCAAGGCTAATTCCCTACTGGTCTTGAAATTTTTATGTTCTAGAGTTCCTCATGGTCAGCAGTAAGTCGGTACATGACAGACCAATTCTACATCAAGTAGGAACTGGGCAATTATGTCTATGTGATGGATGTTTGAGGTTGTGTACACATAGCCTCAGTGATGAGGAGTGAGGGTGCATGTGTGAAGCAAACAGGGTAATCTGCGGTATTTCTCCTTGGTACTTACAAGTTAGCTATTTTTATACATCAGGAGTAAGATGGAACAGAGGTAAAGCTGTAAACTTTTCACATTTTTTGGTCCTTTAACAGATTCTTTAGATATAGGTAGTCTATAAATGTACTTCCCAGAGATATTCTTCTTGCTAAAAACAATCAAATTGTATTTTAATTTCATTGCAAAGAACATTTCCAAAAATAATCTTTGATGTTCAGCTAGTGTGGGATCTCCCAAGAGATATTAATGGAGATATTAAGACAAATAATCCATTCTGTTTCCCTGTAATGCTTTAAAATATCCCACAGCACTTGCTTTAGGGAAACAAAATGTTTCCTCCAATGTGATTTCATATGCTTTTTTTTTTCTTTTTTAAGCTCATACTCAACTCTTTTTCTTATGAAAGTTTCATTTTAGTTTTTTTCTGCTTCTTTTAAAAAGTTTAGGTTTGTGGATGTATAACCTTCTATTTTCTAGGTTATTTTGTACTTTGTAGTTTGTATCCATTAGTTTTAAAACTGAGATTCATACAGAGAAATGACAATATAGTATAGTTGCTAGGAGCACTGATTCTGGAGTTGGTGCACAACACTGATTCTGGAGTTGGAGTCTAAGCTCTGCCATTTACTAGCTATGTAACTGTGGGCAAGAAGACATTGACCCCTTTATGCTTCAGTGTATTCATCTATAAAATGAAGCATACAATAATATCTACTGTATAGAATTGTTATGAGAAGTAAATGATTTAATATTTGTAAAGTAATTAGGATAGTGCTGAGCACATAGAAAACCCTAAGTATTACATAGTGTTAAATAAAATAGTATAGGTTAGCTGTAACCCTAGACTTTATACTTTTATTTTTCCTCTGTGGACTGGAGATCTTTAACTCAAAAGGATATGTCAATGTTATTGTAATGTCAGTAGTAACTCTTGCTTGGAAATTGTTCAAAAGGAAGTTGGTAGAAGTTGTTGTTTGCTCTGATAATTATCAGTATAATCAGAATGCATTTTCAATAGAAGGTAGAATAACTTTCAACTAATAAAAAGTAGTGGGTTTTGTTCAAACACATTATTTTCTTTTGCACCTTTGCCTTAGATAGGACGGGAGCCTTTTCATGACAGAAGATATCAGATTAATCATCATGACTCCACTAGCTCTTGACATAATAATTAATCCATATAAATTACCCAAGTGATATTAAGAAAATAGTTTATATAATCTGTGATGTGAGAAACCAGTTGTTTCATTATTCATCACCCATTGTGCAATTTTGATTTAATTTGGTTTGTTGTGTATTATTTTACTGCTCTATTAACTTAATGATTTGAGCAATTATTTATAGTTTGTGATACTAGGTAATAGATTTAGAATATATTATTAGATAATTCATGATAAAATGATGTTTATGGATGTTATGGAGAATTCTTCCATTTTAATCTGAATGCTGTATGCAGCTTGATCATAATGAGTTCATATTCTTCTACAAAATTCATATAACCCAACTATAAATGTAACTTTCCATTGGCATGGAAGCATAGTAGTTATCAACATTATTTAATGTAGAATAGGTAGCTAATAGTACTCTTGGCCCTCAGTTTCATTGTGTATATATGGAAGTATGAATACTGTTGTTGGAAGATTCTAACATAAAGTGAAAAAAATAAATGAGTTGATTGTCTACCATTGTTCATTTTTTCAAAAATTTCTAAGTCTCCTTCTATTGCTACTTGCTACTCCTGGTTTTGGAAATTCCTCCTAGATGTCTTTGTCCTGACTTTATAGCATGTCCATCTTGTCATTACCAGGGTTTATACTTTTAATAGTCATGTTTACTTGCATTTGCTCATGTGGATTTCCTTGTGGATTTCCATTTTTTCTCTAGATATATAGATTGGAGTGGCCTAATGCTAATCAAAGTTTTTCCAGAGAGAAACAAATTATACAGGTGCACATTCTTATTTATAATTTCTTATTCTCAAATCTCTAAAAACTAAAAAGAAAGGAAGAGTGACCTTTTTATTGGCAAATCTGACCTGACCTGAATTGACATGAAGTTATTTGTTGTTTTCATCCTGTTTATTGTGAGTATTCATACATTTCACTACAGAAATATTAATGGTTTGACTTCAGGATGCTGCTCCAAGGCCTCAATGGAGATATTATATTATATATAGTATATACACTGTATCATTTTAAAATCTGGAAAATTCATGTATTCTGAAATACATTTGTCTGCAAGGATTGCATGTAACCTGTAATCATGATTATTTTTGGTGTTCTGTTATCATAAGAACAATGTGGTCTAGGAATATAAATTTTATAATTATGAATTTAGTCTTTTTCTCTTAGATTACCTATAGTCATAATATGTTAATGAAATATCATCAAATTGTAATTAATGTTTCCAACATCCTTGAAACAAACAATTATTGGTAATGTGGCCAGCCAAATTCTCATATCACATGTTTTTAAGAAATATTTGACTAGTTTCATGTATTATTTATAGAGATTAATGATGAATTTCAAATTAACATGAGCCATGGAAATAGTTTACTAGCATGTGAGTATAATGGCTTTTTCGGGGTTGTCTCGAGATACTAAGATCATATGTTGCAACTATATTCAGCTTTTTAAGTGAGGCTTTTATGACCATCTTTCACCTTCCCACCTGAGCTTGGGAGAGAACATTTTTTTGATGTAGAATGCATTGTTGTTATAGTATTGTTTCTCATGTAGCATATATAAATTATTAACCACAGAACACTTTAGTGAGAGATGTTAATATTAACTTTTTTGTAAAGTATAATTTTTTAACTGTCATTTGTAGGTATTTATTACCAGGAAGTACACAATTCTTCATGAGAACACCAACCTACACCTTGAAATACAGTTCACCTGGAATGACTCGCTCCAATGTTTTGTTTACATCCCGATATGGCCATTTGTGAAACAAAAGGAAGATTGCCATGGATTATGCATAATAGCAATTCATTTTTTCCCCTCCAATTTAAACATGCAAAGAAAGTGACCATTAAGTGCTGTTTTATGTATATATGACATATATGTGTGAAAATATATACATGTGCACTAAAATAACATATATTTATTATAATATATGAAAGAAGAATTAGCAGAAAACTGGATATAAGACTTAACCTTTCTGGAAATGTAATAAACCATGTTAAATTGTTTACACAAATATGTGAATGTCTAGAATTTGCTAGGTTTATAATTAATATCTTCCTACTAGAAATGTTATTTTTGCTGCAGAGTATATAAAACAGAATTGATCCCATTTCAGTGTTAAATTATTTTCTAGATAACACTTCTTTTGACTTGAAAAAGCATTAATAGTATAAAACCTTATTAATTCTCTTATATATAGTAGCCATTTAAAATGAAAAACAAAGCTAGAAGCCTGGTGTTGCTTGATGATAGAATTAAATATAAAACGGGTTTATCATTACTGTAGCACACTACAAAGTACTATAAAAATTTCAACCTGATTTTCCCAATTTTTTATTCCTCTATGTGGAAATTTAGCTACTTGCGATAGTGTACATTTTCAGTAAGGCTTTAGTAAGGCCATGCAGTGATCTACAATGGAAGACAATCCAGTGGGTTAAAATTAAACAAAATGTAAACAAACTTTTATTTTCTACTTTTCATTGGGAGTCACATAAAGGAACAGAAAATGATGCTGATGACAGAATCTTTCCATCTGATTTTTGTATCTCATACCACTCACTTTTATTTGGAAAGTATATCTCCGATGGGTATGTATGATCAGATACAGTTTCTTCTGTTCTTTGGAAGTAGAAGAGTTGACATTTCAAACTCATTTTGGTGTTATAGGATAATGTGTCACACTTATTTTATGTCTCTTAATGATGAAACCGACTTACATTATGAAGTCTAATATAGAGCTTCACATTGCAGCATAGAAAATAATCTAATTGTTGCAAATAGAAGATTCTGGTTACTAGATATTATTAGTCATGGATGTACCCTTGAGAATTTTCTAAAATCAAAATAGAGGATGGAGTTTTCTGTCTGAAGTTATTATACATACATTTCATAGCAATTTACTTCCTTTTCTTGCTTGTAGTTTCAAAAACAATGAGTGAGGGAGTGAGGTGAGGTTTCAGTTTTCCATAAAAATATAAATAGCACTATCATTGACATGGAAATCCTTAGAAATTACAATATGCATCTTTTAGAAGTTTGTTTAAACTTCTCCCAACAGTCTTACTTTCTCACAGATACTAATTATTAACAAAATTTAGGAGTGTTTTACCTTTTAGTATCCTAGAAACTACTCCCGGTAAATCAAGAAATGGCCCCCAAACAGGAAAACTGAGAGAAACAAACTATCCTAGTTTAATTTGCAAAAAGGATAATTGGCAACCCAAAGTTGTAAGTTAGATCTATTTTGGTTTTAAAGCCATATTCTGAGGCTGTGATAGGCTAAAATAGGTTTTTCCTTAAATTATCACTACTTGATTCTTTATGATTACCTAACATCCATATTCCAGTAGATAGTTTTCCTTGCTAAATGCATCCCAAAGAAGAATTTGTTATAGTCTTTGAGGAAAAAGAGGATAAGGATGTCAGAGTAAAGGAAATTAAGTATAACTTGGAGTGTTTGTGACTCCATTTTGTGAATTCTTAAATATATTACAGATTTCTTAGAATAAATAATGCAAAAATTGGGATATTACAAAATCACTGTAAGAGAAGCAAGTAGGTCTTTTCATGAAGCATTTTTAATAATTTTCTTTTAAATTCATGATTTGTCCACAAATGAAACATAATTTTCAAGTGTCTGGTATGTGATATCTATCCAGTTTGTTGGTCACTCACTTGCATTAACTTAAATCAAAACAGTTATTTAGTGTGCTAGAGTGGGTGCTTTGGGACTTCTGTCTTTAATGATAAAAGAACAAAGTTTTTATTTAAAACAAGAATGCTCAACGTGGGGATGAACCCTCTCCCCTTAGAAAACACATACACACACACACACACCCATGCACACTATTTAAGAACCTTTGAAAAAAAAAGTTAAAATGTGTGAAACTACCCAACTAATTAATGAACAAATTTTATTTCTCTAGCTACTTAGATCTGGGTTTTTTTGAGCACTAGAATTTTCTTGCTCACATTTGCATATTTATGCTGATCGGGTTTGATGTGATAATGTTGTGAATAAAAGCCATGTGCTCATTATTTAATTATACTACCTGGTTTGCTGTGGATTATGGTTGCCATAGTGCTTACTCCCTAATGAGAAACTAAGAAGAGAAGATTCAGTAGTAAATCATGAAAATCTCTAGAGGCCATAGAAATGTTTTAGAGGTATAAAATATTCCTCAGATTTTATTATAAATTTTTTATTCATAAGGTGAAAACATATCAATATAAGTGATAGTACGGGTCTGATTTTCTCTCTCTTCCAGGAGAGAAAGTAACTTTATTTGAAAAACTTCAGAAGTTATTCAATATTACCAGGAGTTTTTAATAGGGAATTTGGTTTACTTAAAATTAAAGTTATAATCATTCTGTTATTAAAAAAAAAGTCCCTACTCATTCTGTAAATCTAAGATTAGAATGCTTCCCAGAACTATATATGATTGCAATGATTTCCAAAATTATACAAAAAGCAACCTTAGTTTTAAACCTCATCTATGAACATGGTATGAGATGGCAGATTTGTTTTCACTTTAATTATCCAGCCTTGTAATTAGTTACCATTTGCTTTATGTAATCTGTTGAGGGAACTATTATGATTCATATTATGTTTATTTTTACTAGCAACACATTTTATTTTACTAGCATTTTATTTACCTTGCTTATATAAAAACGAAGTTATAATAGGATCAAATATGGAAATAACCTCTGCCAGATGCAAAGGTTTATACAGATTTTTTTCATATTTCTAAATACACGAAAATTGCCTACTAATTCCTCCTCCCTAAAACTAAAATGAACCAAACTCAGACAAACAAAAAACCCAACTTTCTTTTCACGTAGTATTTACAAACAACTAGATGATGGAGGCTTCTAGACATCAAGGACTTCATTCTAATTTTCTTTTTAATTTGGAAAGCATATGATTATAGAATTTTGTTATCTAACTTGAAATTTCACATTTTAGTACAAATTAATCCAAATGCTTTCATCTTTATCATATCAAAGCCATTCTATGTACAAATTCTTTTTAAATCTAAACATAGACATATTTGACCTTTTCAAATATACCAAAAAAGTTGATAGTTGCATAAAGTCGATTATTTCTAGGTTTCTGCAAAGCACTGATTCATTCTTAAATGTGTTTTCTTTAAAAAATAATAGCAAATACCTCGAGAAGAGTGACAGAAAATACCTTCCTTTTCTGTTCTGTAATGCTAGTTTACATTTCGAGTCTTAGTTTACTGGCTCTAAGGTTAAGCAATAAAAAGTGTAACTTCACTTAGTTGTGTTGCTGTGATCTAATGATTTTTAAATATTGGCTTTTCTCTTTAAATTGAGAAACTTATGTTTTCAGGTTCTGAATTAGTTATCTAAATATTTTGGGTAAATATTATTTACAAATAAATTAAAAAATTAGAAATATATTCATTATCAAAATTGTATTCCTTATGCTGCTTTTTCTTTCTTTTTTCCTTCCTTCACCGCCACCTCTTCTTCCTCCTATAACCTTTGAAGTTTTGACCTTTGATGGACAAAGTCCAGAAAGGATAAATCCTGCCTTTTAAATATTGGTTTTCCTTGAATTTTATGGTGGTGTATTTTTACTTCAGCAAAAATTAAACTTAGGTAAAATGTGTTATTAGAGTTCAGTTTGTCTGCTGAGACTTCTAAGAATCAAGTTTCTATACCTAAAAAACATTGTCTAGACTCTTTGAACCAAGGTACATGGCTACAAATAACAGTTTTGCAAACCAAAAGTAGTATATTAAAACTTATGGCACTCCTTGAGATTGCCACCCTTTTTGGTGATTTTTCGCCTTGTCGTAAGTGGGTATATGGTATATTGAAGAAAATCTATTCAGATAACATATTTTGTATTAACTGGGCTGTATTATCTAAGAAGGGCTATATAAAACTTTTATTTTATCCCCACCACTAACTTGAAAACTATTGGTAAAGTCATTGCTCAATAGACTAATATTTTTTCAATTAGTAAGAAGACTTACCTTGCAAAAGTAATCAGATAATGCTGATATTTTTCTTTCAAAGGTTAACAATGGTAGTTCTTGGTCCTGACTTGGTTCATATAGTTACTACTGTACATGATACAATATCAACTATTAATAGATTTGTTGAAGATTCTGGGTTTCAAGATTAGCTTGAAAGCAATACATTTGCTACCATGAGTCATGACTCAAATTATCCCCATGTGTTTACTACCTGTATATGAATGCAAATGTTGTTACAGAAAATATGCTTGAAATGTCAACACTATGTGCAATTAATATTGCATTGTCATGCTTCAGCATGTAATATCTGTATGGTGAAGTTATTTCAATTACTATAATAAAAATGTTTAACATAAGAAAGCAACAACATGTCATCAAATGGTTATTTCTGTCTTACACACACAGACACACACACTCACACACACACACTTTTTAGTAGAGGAGTCTGGCTTTAATTAAGCTTTCAGGTGATGAAATATGTTTTCACAGTTATTTTCTTCTGCTGTACAGACAGCAATAGCACTATGGGGATAACTTTTACTGCTATTAAAGTCAGGTCGAGTAAACAAAATTGGTGTCAATTTCTCTCCTAGTTAGCTGAAAGGCAGACCCTTTTAGAATTTAGAAATGACACATTTATATCTCTCTAGTATCATTGATTATAACAACAATATTATTAATCTAAATAGAATTAGGTCAGCAACTTAGTTATGACTTTTATTTTTCCTAGGAATTTATAGCTTTATCATCATTAAAACATCATACTAAGTCTCAATAAGAAACATATCCTAGTCTCATTGGTATTCATATTATTGTTCTTTAAGATGTTTATATAGAAAGAAGTGAGAATATTCTTCCTTTAAAGAAAGGAAATACTTTGGTTAAAAATCTTGTTATGCAGTAATAACATTAATGCCATGTATGACTTAGTTTTTGGATTGATAACCACATGGTATAATATTGACTTTTAAAAATGTAATTTTTAAATTTGTCATTATTTTTATAAGGTTAAAATATTCTATGAATGCTTTAATTTTTTGACTTTTTTTTCAGTGACAAAGACGAGACCAGTGTGGATAGTTTGGTATCTCCCTATTTTATAGGATAATTTGTAAGATTTATATAGATATATATACATATGTATATATTCCATTCAATTAAATGACTGGAAATCTTTTTATATTATAAAATAAATCATCCTGAAATAATTTCAAGTGTACAAAACATCATATAGTGCCTTAAATCAAAATTAACACCTGCTTGTTTGCAGAGAGGAAGATAGTAGGTCTTTAGGTTAATTTGGAGAAAGTTATCACTTAATGATTATTCATGTATGTATAGAACATGGTGACAACAATGTCTAGCCCCATGATCAGGTAGATTTGTAAAACATCAGGTGTAAAAACTGCGATGTGTTTCTCTACTTTTAGGACCTCTCTGAGTCTTTAGTGTCTTAAGATCCAGAGGGAGTTTTCAGCAAGAGACTAGAACGTGCATCAGTTTCTAAACTAATTTCACTATGGTACCTTTAATTGAAATGCATCTCTGAGGACTAGTCTTCCGTTGACCAAACTTTGGAAAACAACAAACTAAACCAATTCATTTATTGATAAAGTAGTCAAGGTATTTAGTAATCATTTATCAAATATACACTGGAGGTATAATTGTGAATACTGACAAATATAGTGCAGGAATTTACTTGCACTTGTCAGTTGAGAATTTGGCCATTTCCAGGGGAATATTTGAACCAGGGTTTCAAGAGGGCTGGTTTGACCCAGGAATAATAGTCCTAGTTAAATTGTCTAAATGGTAAAAATGAGCTCTATTAGACATTTGCAACATAATGGTGATATGCAGAGTGGTGTAAAATGTTTTAGATTGTGGTCAGAATGAGGTTCAAGCTCTTAGGAAAAGATATTAATGATTTATTGGGTCTAATATGATAAAAGTTTGTCTTTAATAAGAATCTGTTGTCACCCATCAGGAGATAAAAGCTTTGCATAACACATAGTGTATCTAGAAGCACTTAGCATTTGAAAATATGTTTTTATTTTTTTAAAAGATTTTATTTATTTATTTGACAGAGAGAGATCACAAGTAGGCAGAGAGGCAAAGAGACAGAGAGGGAAGCTGGCTCCCCGCTGAGCAGAGAGCCTGATGCTGGGCTGGATCCTAGGACGCTGAGATCATGACCTGAGCGGAAGGCAGAAGCTCATCCCACTGAGCCGCCCAGGCGCCCCCAAAGTATTTTCTTATACAAACAAAAAGTCCTGTTGGTTTACAACAAATTTCCTTCAAAGCTAGAATTTATTAAAAGTTTGTTGTATTATTTATGAGAGAAAATTTATTGAGACAATTTTCACCCTATGTTTAGGTTTTCCTTAAGCAATATGTTAGGCACTTTGGAAGCTTTAAGAAGTTTCATCTCAGTCCTGTTTTGTCCCATGTGAAATATTGCCCAGTTAATCTCCCTTTTAAAAATGTAGTTCAGTGTATCTACAGAGTTATATACTGAATGGTACTATAATGGCTTAAACTGAACCATTATATATAGTTATCAAAAACGTTGAAATTTTGACTTAGAAAGTAGTGTCTTGGTTATTGTGCAGAAATGACACCATTTTTATATCTTTTTAATAAGCCAGGCTTCAACATTTATTCCCTCTCTTATGGCCATGTCCCCAGTTGTCAATAAAATATTTCCTGACCTCCCGGGGAAAAAAAAAAAAAAAAAAAAAAGGGAGCCAGTCAGTGACCCGGAAGCAGAAGTGACTCCCGCAAGGAGATTGCTGGGGAGCGGCAGCGGCGACTGCAGCGGTAGAAGCAGCAAAGTA